GGTCCTTTGAACAATGACCTAAACTCCCTATTTATAATACTCCTACAAATCCTACCTATCTAAGGTATAATTACAATTATTATAAAAGTAGGATTCCTTCCAAAATAGGGTCTTCTTTATTTCTCCTTGCTTGACTTGATAAGACTTGAAACATCTTGAATTAGGAAATTTGACAACATTCCTTGCGACAAAAGGAATGACTTGGCTTCTTGACTTGATTAATCTCCAATCTTCATCTTCTTGCCCCTTTTTAGCACACTTTCTCATATTTCACAATTCCTTCACAAATCTCACAAAACCAATTAAAACAACCAATTTAATCCAAGGAAATTAACAAATAGATAAGTAAAGGAGGCATAAAATATATATAAAATATAGGCTTATCAACGACATACACTGTGAGTGTAGAAAATATGTAGTAATTAATGAAAGATGATTATAAACACACCATAATCATTTATTTAGAATGATTTACTACAATATTTTACACTTTATACATTGCATGGTAAGATACATGAGTGACTTAGTACCACAGAGTTCCTATAAGGTTCAAATTTGAGTTATTTACACTAACACCTCCTGTTGTTTTCAGTTTTAGAAATTACAAGAATTCCCCCTGTTGTTTTAAATTGTTTTCACAAAACTCCTTTTCATTGATTTTTCATCCAAAGACTGATGATTTTATACCAAAAAATTCTCCAAATGACAAAGTTGGTCTTTGAGATTAGATTGCATATACTTCATTGAGGTTAATTTTATAATTTGCATAAGTAGAGAACGGGGTAATTGAGGGGACTCCAACTCTCAGCCACGTTCTAGCGATACTCCTATCACAGTGTAGCAACAATGGAGGCAGGGAGTGCTGGAGACACGAGGAAGAGTTGAGTGAGGCCACTTACTAGGGATGCCAGGGTTTTAAATATGTTTTTTCATTTTTTAAATTTATTTATTTTTTTATTTTTATTTTTAAGGATTTTTGAAAAGAGAATAAATAGAAAATAGAATTCACATGCCAACATTCATTAATTGACATGGTATGATACATCACCTGCCACATAAGGTGGTCAGCTAAGGTGGTCAATGACAGGATCTGCCCCAGATTCCCCTTCGAAATCCATGACAAATCCTGCTTCCCATCTAGCATCCGGCAGATGTCGGACTCACTTTACCAAAAAGCCCTTTAGCCCCAATTTAAACTCATAGACTATTTGACTTCTACCGAAATTTCGACAGTCTCCCTTGTAATTGGAATATTTCCCAATTTACACTACCTGCAAATAAGTGCAAGAATAAACCCAACTTCTAGCATGCACAAAGTAAAGGCACACACAACAGTGAAGATTATCATGCCCTCCAGGGACGGACCCAGGATTTGAAAATGACGTGGGCTAAATTTACCTTACATACAAACTTAGTGAAAACTCGATGGTATGAATGAATTTCATTGATAACAAAAAAATACACGGGGGACATAATGAGCCTTACCCCTCAAAAACCCCGTATCCGATACCGCTATTAAAATAACATATATTTAAAATAATATATATTCAAAATAGTCATTTTCCAAATTAGCATAATTGTTACTAGAATTCCCCAAAAAACAATAGCCCAATATAAAGTTGGAGGAAAAAGACCTCTGTGGAGTTGAGAAGAAGCAGCCTTGGAACTGATCAGCTGATCGATAAGAGTGTTGGGTTTTTTTTTAGTTGGTCAGCCAGCCTAGTGGGGATTAGTTAATAAGATTGGCCTAGGCTAGGGTATTATTTTAGTCTTTAAAAAAAATAAGTCTCTTGGGCTATAGCCCAGGTTAGCTTGTTAGTACCGTCCCTGATGCCTTCTACCCAAACTCAAAACGAGCAAGCAGAGTAACTAAAGATTAAGTTTACAACCCGGGAAAAAATAAAATGTACAGAGTGATAGTAGCACACTCCTACGGAGCGGATAACAATGATGCCTCGACGTGGTGGTCTCTTATTGACAAAAAAAAGTAATTGCCTTTTTATTGACAAAAAAAATGCATGTTCCTTCCATACCACAGTTTTTCACTACCGTGTGACCAAAAAATAAAAAATCTCACCACAGTTTACCAAAGAAAGCAACCATTCAAATAATTGGAATGAAATTTGCATCTCAAGATCTACAAGCTCATTAGACCTAGCTTTGTTATAATGGCTTTGTTCTTATTGACACAACTTATGTTAAACGATAGGGAAATCATTTCCACAAAAGCAGAGGATGACATTTTCAATCTAGGGAAATCATTTCGGAGCTATAAGAAGACTGGCATTACTACATATACCATAGATATGTTCGGTTCATTTTAGCGATCACAATATCCTAGAGAGGGTGATAAAAGTAAAGCTAAATAAAAGAAAACCCATTTCATAGAGGGAACTTCCATGAAATTTCGTATGTTCCTTCCGTTCTTTCTCATTGGAGACATTGTGTGGCTGAAAAGATCAAGTAATGGCCTTTTCCTTCCACATCACAGTTTTTCCCTATCGTGTGACAAAAAATAAAAAATAAAAAATCTCACCACAGTTTACACCAAGAAAAGCAACCATTCAAATAAGAGATATTTAGTCATATACCCATTCTTAGCACTAAAACTATGAATAAACCCTACACCATTTAATTTTTATAAACAAAAAAAAAAAAAACCCAAAAAAAGACATCTGGCCCTATTGAATTTAATTTTGATTATTAAATTACTTTGATACCCTATTAAGTGTTTTGGGTTTTTTTATGAGTTTTTGGGTTGGGTTTGTTTTAAGAAATCAATGGTAGTTTTGTAATTTAAAAGAAGTTAAAAGCCTTTTTGTTATGTTGTAAATGGACTTTGGATGTGTTTCTAAAGTCCATTTCATATAGAGTTTTTTTATAATTTGGGCTCCTATATTGGGTATAATAGTGAATCTTCCTTCAAATAATTGGCCTGACGACACACTCAAAAGAACTTGTCAGAAATGAAATGATGCCCTCTTTCTTCTTCATTGAAAAGCAAAAGAAATGACTCATTGATGCAAAAAGACTTGGACTCCCATTGTTGACGTTGGAGATAGCTGACAATAGAAACCGTTGTTAGCAATAGTCAATTAATGAGGATTAGTGGAATGTTTGGCACCTACAATGTTTGGGGGCTTGACTAGGTTGGTAGCCTACCATAATTTGGGAGCTTGACCTTAGGTGCCTAACATTGTGGGCTTGACTTTATAATTAATGTTTTAGGAACTTGTATATATATGTTGATTGTAAGTAATGAAAGATTAAGTGAAAACCAGAAAATACTCTACAAATATTCAGTTGAGTATTTGGATTTTTGAATATTTAATTAGCGAAGTTCTTGTTTCATTGAGTAGTGTTTACAGCAGAAGCAGCAGATTTCCAATGGCGTTGAGCACCCAAAGAGCCTCTGATCCTTCAGCTGATCAGTCAGCTCCTCCTCAATGGAACTACGATGTGTTTTTGAGTTTCAGGGGTGTAGACACTCGAAATAGCTTTGTGTCCCATTTATACCACGAATTGCAGCACAGGGGCATTAAAACATTCAAGGATGATCCAAAGCTTGAAAGAGGGACAACCATTTCTTCAG